TTCGAGTGGGCGCTGTGAACTATGGGTCGCGTTGCGGGACGGTAGTCGAGTGGTGCGCTGTGAAAGATTGCCGGCTTGTCGCGCTGCCAGGTGCGGCGATGACGCTAAAGGGGCATCGAGGCCACGGAGTGCCCAGCCCTGCTATTCGCAACCGGAGTTTTAACAGACCCCTGTAGTGCACATGGGAATCCAATCGAGAAGGCCTTCCTGCCACACCATAGCCATCGCACTACGCTGCAACCAGAGTTCACATGTGCAACGTGCTTTTTGATCTGCATGCACGTTGGACGTGTGCTTATTCTCCACTGCGATGCTTCCGCTCCGCCCCGCTATCCTTCCTTCCGCGTCGCGTGAGCAGTCCCAAATGAGGATTTGATAAACGATGCCCCTCCACATCTCAATATATATGGTGGGTGTGGACATCGACTTTGCATGAAAGACTACCTTCGCCAGCGCATATCGCGATACGGGCTTCTTCCGCCGGCCGAGCTGATATCTCACCACCCCATCACAACAAGAAACGGCAACAGCGCCGACCACAGCCAAGGATACCGCGGCACCGGCGAGTATGCACTTTTGTTTCAGGACAAGATGCTTGCTTTGGCCTTGATAAGGTGCGCCTGATTACTGGGGCGAATGACAAAGGCTAGTTCACGTTTCGCTGGGCTCACGGACTTTCGTCGTCCTCATTTCTTCTGCGATTGCTGCGCCACAGTTTGGCGTTCTAGCCAGTCATTTGGGTGCATCGATTCACGGAGACTTCGGCACTTTGGACGCTTGTCGTGGCACGTCCAAACTGTATACCTGCTTCGCTAGTAATTTTATCACGTCAGCTTTGCTTTTAATTCGCATGCCGAGCTCGTTTTCTAGGGAGAAGACGCGTGTGCATGCTTGGTTCGGACATTCGGTATCGACAATAGTCATATTCGGACCGCGCAAAGATGTGGAGCAGACCAACGGACCCTGATATTCACATCCTAAAATACACTTGATCCTGCTCCGAGGCAAGACATCCATATCCTCCACTATTCCGTCTCGTACGTCCATTCATCGTCGCCAATGCAGTAAATGCGTAGGAAATCAAGCCAAGCATAAAGGAATAGATCATTGCAATTTTGGAAGTCTTTGCTTCTCTTCCTCGTTCGGTTTCTTCGTCACCCTACAGAAAAGAGTTGGCTAGTCAGTACCGTTCGGTGCAGCAGAGAGAGTAGGAGTTGTGGCGCCTGAATTAGGCTTACTCTTCGTCTTCAACGTTAGCGGGAAGGTAAAGTCGTCAGCCTCTTCTTCTTCACTGCGCAGTTGTTAGCGTTGCCATGGTGCATCACATTCTGATCATCACTTACGGGAGCTTCCACGCAATGTAATCCTCGGTGCTCAGTCCCTCGCGGCCCTCCTGCAGCGAGGCAAAGTCACCGGGCGTCATCATGCCCGAACGATCGCGGGGAGACCCGGGCTCGGACAACGGCCGTGAGATCTTGACGTCTTGCGAGCTGAAGAAATCTGGCTCATCATCGTCTTCGTATGCCGCAGGGTACGCACGTCGAAGAGCCAATTGTCGGGCCTTGACGTACTCCAAGCCCATGCGCTTCCAGTCGAGCAAGTCGCTGAGTCTCTCGGTCCGGTTACGCTGGTTGATACGCTGGCGCTTGCTCTTCTTGGTGAATTCGAACATGTAGTCGACAAGCTGGTTGACTGAGTCGTCCACGCCCTTCATCCTTCGGTCTACGATATAGATACCATAGTCCTGGGCATTTTCAATCAGTTCCTCCATGTAACAACCGAAGCCGGACAGGTTGGTTGTGATGCTGGGAACACCCATCACGGTGCACTCAGCCGGAGTGTAACCCCAGGGTTCGTAGTAGGATGAGAAGACACCGAGGTGAGTTCCACGAACAAAATCATCATAGTCTAATGGCAAGACAGGGTTCGCCGAGTTCAAGAACTCGGGATGGAATACAACCTTGACGCGATCCGATGGGTGGTTGAAGAGCTGGCAGCGACGGAGCTGGTTCAGGACGGGGTCTTCGGCATCGTTGACCATGTTGTGAGTAACAATGGGCGGAAGGTTGTGACGCTTCATGGCAAACAACCGTCGGCGGAGCAAGATCTTATCAGCGGGCGTGATCAAGTCCTTGTCCTCAGGGAGCTCAGAGCCCTCCGTCCAGGTCAACGAACGCTCAAACAACTTCTTAGCAACATTCTCGGCGATGTTGTTTACACTGTCGTGAAGCGCTTTGATGACGGCTTGTCCCTTCAGTGAGTCGACCGAGAGCGATGTCGTCTGCGCGGGAAGAATGATGAAAGCGACGACTGTCATGTTCGAGTTCTCGTTCTTCATCTTATGGTTCAGCCGGGCTAATGACTCAATGAACATGTCCACACCCTTATTGCGGTACTCATAGCGACCGGCGGTGAAGAAGTAGAGGGTGTTCTCAGGGTCGAAGTCGTTGTGGCCGTAGAAATGTCCGCGCACGAAGTCATTGATCTTGACCTTGGCTTGCTGATGTAAGTTTTGGAACTCGTGAGTAGCCGAAAACTTCTTGACGTTCAGACCGTTGGGCAAGACACCGTCCGGCTTTCGCTTCAGAAGATGCTCGCTCTCGTATGCGGTGATGTGGGAAACCGTGGTGAAGACATCAGCAGCGTGTGTGGCGGCGCGCTCGATGCAGTAGCGGTGGTAAATACCGCGCTTTCCCGCCTCAGCGTCCACGTCGAAATATTGGAGGTTGTTGTAGAAATCGACCGAGCCGGCGCAGAGGTAGCGACCGAGGAGCGTAGCGTGGGTAGTGAAGATAGTGGTAACATCGATGCGGCGCTTCTTGCAGAGCGGGACTGCGACACCTGCCAGCCACTCGTGGAACTGAACAATGACGGCTCGCTTCTTCTCGTGGTAGACGTACTGGAGAGTAGTTAGCGCAGCTCGCAGCGACTGCACATGTTCTCAACTTACCTCGCCTAGGAACCACGCAATGAGGTAACCAAAAACAATAGCCTCGTTGGTCTCCGAATCGCCGGGCGGTGAAGGAATGCCGGTGGAAGACCAGAGGTCGCCCTTCCACTCGTCAAGCCACCTGTAGCCGGTACCAGTGTCGAAGAGGAGCACACGTGGGGCACCGTCGATCAACCAACGTCCGTACAGCATCTTGATGCCACGGTCGTCCATAGACTTCATGGTCGCGATCAACGCCGGGTCTTTGGGCTCGATGGGCTCTACTTCGACCGCCGCCTGTTATCTCGTTAATTTTTGATTTCAAGATGCCGTGGGTTGCGCCTACCGAAGCTCTGTTCCACGGGCCCAAGAGGGTGTATGCGGCGCCATACTCAGCGGTGGTGACCTGGGCCTTGGACTTGAGGACTGAGTAGATACCGCCGACTGAGACTGGTTAGCATTGCAGAAAGGCATCAAGTTGGGACGAAAGCTACCTCTGTTTGCGACTTCGGTCGCAACCTCGAACAGGACGTGGTTCTGCACGTCTCTCGCGCCGGTCTCAGCCATTGTGGGTGGGTGTTGTGAGGAGATGGTGGGAAGGCGCAATGGCAAGATCGGAGCTCTTTCTAGGGAAGAGAAAGCTTGGAAAGTCGAGGGAGTGTGAGAGCTTGAGCTCGGTGCTTGGTTGAGCTACTGCAGGTGGCCGCGCTAGACAAGCGGTTCGATTACTCCCGGTTGAGTACGAAGTGCTGGCGGCGGACACGGTGTGGTGGAGCTGCAGGAGCAATTGGACGTGTGGTAGCAGAGCAGCAGCAAGCAAACTCTGTCTAATAGTCGAGGAAAGATGTTTTGCAGGCGCCCTGGGGACAGAAATGCTGGGCCGCTATTGTTTGGCGCACGAGCGTTGGCTACCCGGTGGAGGTTGGGATTCCTCTTTGGGTATCGGATCAATCGTCGTAGGACCGCCGGCGTACTCTGCCGTGACGTAGGCGCTCGGCTTCTACTGCCCATTCACGTTTAAACTGCCATTTAGCCTGGCCGCCTTGACGCGCCCCGTCCCAGCTGCACCACGTCTCTCCGATGCTGTTCACACTCGCCGCGCTGCACTTGAAGCCAGAGTCGACCCCACGGGCAGCGCCCAATTCTGAGGCTGAAGCGCAACGGGCGAGGCCAAGGCCGCGAGTCAACAACTCAACAGTTTCCTTTGGAAATGAGAAGCGGAGCATCGACCGATCCCGCCGCCCGTTGAGCTGCTCGCTTATTCCTGTCTGCTTGTCTATGCCCGTCCGCTTTCAGACGCATCAAGAACATCAAAAGGGTCAGCTGGATGCAAGAGCTGCGCGCTGCGTTCGACTGCCGAGGCGCTGCACCAGGTCCGCTTGCTGCAGTATTCCGTCATACGGAGTGCAGTAAGGCCGACAATTGCGGGGTTCCCGCGAACGGTGGGAGAAGTCGACAGCACGCCAACTCTCTCCACAGCGCCATTAGTGGGTCGTGGGTGGAGGCGGAGAGGAGCACGTGAAGGGCCCACGAAAGCCACCGCCGCGCCGTGTGACAGGTGTGCGATGCGCTGCGGAGAGTTCATCGGAAGGAAAGGTTTTCCCTGCGAGCCGTGTCGTATTGCATCTCGGACGATATTGTCTAGCAGCACTGTATGGCCGTATACCAGTATCGTGCTGGGTTGCTAGGCAGGTGCATGACTCGTATACGGTCAGTGCCTGATACACCAAGGTCTAGACAATGGCACTCGACTGGTGGGAGTCTCGAATACAACATGTCAGCAGCCTTGAACAGCGAACGACCCTACGAGATGGCTGGAGAGTAAAAGAAGCTTCTTCTAGAAATCTTTTGCATTTGCTTTTGTGTCATAGAGTCCAGAATAAGCATTGGACTACTCCTCTCTCACAGCCTCTATAAATCTACTATACCAGATACCACCCAGGCCGTAATATGCGACATATGAAAGTGCAGCCAAAGCAATGGATATCGAGCTAAACGCGCAACGCCAACAAACGAAAACGACGAACCCCAAAAAAACTCCAAGCAAAAGGGACCCGTCGAGCAAACGACCCTACTTACCACTCCGATCGATGACCGGAGCAGCGTTTGGCAGCGCACTCAGCAAACTGCCTTGTGCGAATTCGTTGTTCGACGAGAGGTTGACCATGGGGCCCCTGGCTTTACTACCATCCATAACGCCCCTACCCACCATGTCCTTCCCCTGCGAGTAGCCGGCTTGAGATAGCAAACCGCCTCCGGTAAACGCCTTACTGTCATCCTCTGGAGCACCGAGATGGTTATTTTGTGTATACGCAGCCAATGGCTCGCCACGACCCTTGAGCGAGCGCGTGCGTTCGTGGCCACCAGCGGCTCGCGATGTGCCTGGACGACCGGCGCGCCAGTCTGTTGATGAGGGAACCTTGATAGCCTCCTCGATCGACGTTGCACTTTCGACCAACGGCCCGGCGCCAGCTCCTGGATTGTAGCCTTTGCCCTTGTTCAGATGCTGCGGTGGCGGGCGGTACTGGGGTGTTAGATCGACCAAAGGCTCGGGCATGCCAGGTACACGCTTCGAAGCACTACGTTGGAGATCGCTGGATGCTCGCCGGTGATGATTGCTGCGGACTGAGGTATTACGTTTCAGACCAGAATCGTTGGACGATACTTGGGCTACACGGCCCATGTTGTTCAGCAGAGATGGACCTTCTGTGAACGGGCCTGACGGCTCACGAGCTTGTAGAGCGGCTTGACGTTGCGTGTAGCTACGTCCCAGAAGGCCGCTCGATGCAAACGCCTCGTCGCCTTGCTGATCAACACTTCGACTGCGGGCACTCGGCGGTGAAGTGCTTTCTGCAACCAGACCACTCTTGCTGAAAGCGGCTGGGGGTGGTTGCTTTACACGTATCGACTTCATCCGCGAGTGCATTGCCCTGCTATCGAGCTTGGAAAGAGGTTTGTCGTCTGGAAACTCTCCCGGTTTGTGAACTTCAATCTGGTCCAGCGTCTTGTTGAAACTGTCCATATCGAGCAAGGACGAGAAAGCACCGAGCTGGTAATGCGACCCAACTGATTCTCCTCTTGAATGCGACGACGTCTGTGCGGCTTCAGCAGCCCCGGACACATTGCGTGTCGCATGAGTCTTCTTCTTCAAACCCTCGCCCTTCTGGTGTTTGAGATACCAACTCCGCCACGTCTGTAACGCTGTGTAGAACGTGTTCGCTATGTTTCGGTCGTTGGTACAGAAGAAGTGGACATACTGCGATTCGTCCGCAAAGATGTTAGACTTTTGCATACTCTTGACGGCATAGCAAATCTTCTTTGGGGGCTTCACCCGTGCCAGCTTGGACTGGGTCACCGAGTAGATGTCGTAGTCTGTGAGTGTGCAGATGTTTTCCTGGTCCTTTTCCTTGGTCTTTTCGTTCTTGGCCATGACTAATTGTCCGTCTGGGCGAAGGATGAGAAGTCGTTTACTCCATTTCCCAGGTCTCGATGAGTATTGGATAAAGCACGAAGCGCCCTCTGGTCTGGTGTCTGGGACTTTGTACGAGAGTAGACTGTCCTGGTCGATACCGTCGACATCAGAGTCAATGATGGTAAGTTCGTTCTGATTGTCGTAATCCCAGGAGTTCATCACATCTCTCACGTACTCGTAGTTGCGAAGGGGGCGTGTGATGCTAACCTTGGTGAAGAGCTCGGAAATAACAGCTGTGCGAACGTCAATGGGATCTGTGAGCACCGTGGCAGCAGATTTGATAAGATCGAGAGGAGTCGTGGTTGGAGTCACAGGGAGCAGGATGCGCTTCTCGTTGCACACGACTTTAACGCGCTATTACGGCTGTTAGTCGCATGTTCGTGTTTGATGAATGATGTACATACTCTATCACCAGCGTTCACGGCGGATGTAGGCGCATCGATGCCTAGAACAACGCCACCTCCGCCCGGTCTGATAGTGTCCTCCTCTCCGAGATTAAGACTCAGTTGCGGTGCAGTTGGTTGTTGCACAGGGGCATCTAGACCCAAAACTTCATCCTTTCTCCTCTTGAACATTCCGAAACCTGTCTCCTGCTGCCGCGGTGGCGATACTGGAGGTGAAGAAGAGGGAGCTTTTCGGGCCTTCTGCTCAAGCTTTGCGAGGGTTGCCTGCCGCTCCTTCTCTTCGACCTTCGCCTTGCGGACGCCCTCTTCCCTTTGTTGGAGGACTTTCTGGTTCTCGGCCTTCTGTAATCGTCTGCCACGTTCTTGTTCGGCCTTTTGTTCTTCCCGCTGCCGACGTAGGGCCTCAGCTTCTTCCATCTCTCGTTGTGCATCTAAGCGCGCAGCTTCTTCCTCTTCGTGTCGCATCCTCTCGATTCTGTCCTGCTCGGCCTGCTTAGCCTGCTTCTGTGCGCGTGCCTCTGCCTCATATTTTTCTTTGAGCTGTCGCTGTCTCTCCTTCTCCCGCTGCAAGACCTCTCTCGCGCTGTCATCGCCTCTGAGCGACTGCTGTCGCGGCGCATTGGAGACGGGCGGCGAGGCCTCTGTCGTGCGAGTCCTGGCGGTCCTGGGCCGACGCTGGCCGGTGTTTGCGGAATGCGACGATTGGTACGGCGAACTCACAGCGCGGTTCCGGGATGTCGAGGGCGTGGAGGGCGGTACTTGCGCAGGAAGGGGAGGAGGGGCATTTGGAATGGTGTTCGAACGGAGCGGTGGGGGGTTTGGGCTGGTCGCGTGCGAGGTAGTCGGTCTGCGGTGGTAGCGGCTCATGCTCCTGCTGATGGGCGCATCGCTTTGGGGCTGCATCTCGGACACGGCGGGCATGGGAGGCACTGCGGGCACGCCTGGCGAAGTGTGGTGTTGCTGTTCTTGCGCGCGCCTCACGCTCCTATAGCGCGACATCTTGGGGGCTGCCGCCGCCGACGAGGGGATTGTTTCCGTGGCCATGTTGTGCTCGGCTGCTGTGCGACACGACTTTGCGTGCCTGTGCGACGACAGGTAAGGGACATAGGAGACAGAGGCTGGAGGGCATACACCAGGCAAGTGAGGGGGAGCGGCGCAGGGAGTGTGGGAAGAAGCAACAGGGAGCGGCAGGTGCACACGGATACTCGGCTGTTTAATTCATGAGATTCCAGTACCTAAGTCCAATCACTACGTCAAGCAAGCGACCCAGTCTTGCACCGTCGCAATGGAGGTGGTCCTCTCAGGGGGACAAGGTTGGCTGGACTCTTACTTGATGCAGCAAGGGCGCCCGTTGTGGCGCTAACAATAGCTGAGCCGGGGCAGCTGCGTGTTTGGCCATGCCCGCCTAGCTGTTTCGGCCAATCTAGCCGCACACCCGCCGCAAGTACCGCCCTGCCGCGCATTATTATTACACTTTGCCATGCATCAGCTACAGCAGCCCTGTTTGTGTAGTCTCTCGGCTTTACATTGCCAATAATTTCGGTTGTAGGTGTCTGATAAAACTTAGAACCTACTTCACACCACGCTAGACTTAGAACGTTAGTGTCTATTGTTTATAATCTTGCAGCAACCTAGGAAAATAGCATAATAGACTAAGCTAAGTAAGAATAAAATATTAAAAGGTCTAGCTACATTCGCAAGAAGTAAACTACTACTACTACTAGGTCTATTCTAGCTTATTTTAACCTTAATATTTAAGTATATAAGCTATTTTTTTTCTATAAAGTAGAACTATAGTTTAGTTTAGTTAATAGTACTTTAAGTATATTTTTATAAACTATAAAGCTTTTTTAGCTATATTATAGTTATATAAGTAGTAGTAAGTATAAAAGTAATATACTAAACTAATTTTTTTCTTTTTATTTATTATATTACTTAGTTATAACTACTTTTAATAATTATATTATTTTACTTATTAATAGTAAAGCTACTAAAAGTACTATAATTAATTTCTTAACTATAATATAAAAAAAGTAAATTTTTTTTTTTAAAAGAGAAAACTTTACTTTTTTTAATCTTATTTAAAAAGCTAAAGCTTAGTTTATACTTCTTATTACTAAAAAGTAAATAAAGTTTTAAAATAGTAAGTACTACTTTAAAAGCTATATAACTAAGTTAATAAGTATAGCTTTAAATAATAGTTTTAGCTAAAAAATTTTCTAAGCTTACTTAATAAAGCTAAGTAAGCTATTAAAAAAAAATAAAAATTAGACTAACTATAAAAAGTAATACTTTAACTTAAATTATATACTAAAAAAAATTTAAAAACTATAAAACTAAGTATAAAAGAATAGTAAGAGTAGGCGTAAAAGTATATAACTATAAGTGCTTTTGCATAACTAGGTTTTGGCCCTTAGCTAAAATAGAGAGAAGTGAACTAAAGAGTGAAGAGAATAATGTCAATTAGGTGACAGAACCTACTTCTCCAGCTACAAGAGTCTCTACTGCGTTTACACAGTACTGCATTTCACTATGTGGACATGCCCCAATCACCTAGGTAGATGCCACTAACATACGCTCTTCTCCCTCTCCCACATCTCCTCTGCCTACCAAACATGGCTCGGAAGACCCAGCTTTTGTTTGCGGGTTTCTCGATTCTTGCTCTGATTTACCTGTTCTGCCATAACCCCTACGCCTACATATCCAGCACATCGCACTTTCAGCAACCTCCACCTCCCCTCCCACCAGCCAATTCCACTCTCGGTTTTGGTGCTATCCTTGCAGTATCACACTCCAGCTCACCACGACGACCCAGCCTACTATGGGCTGCCAACCTAACAGATATCGAGATTGTGATTCCTCGGCAGAAGGAGTGGGGTGTGGGTGATGTCGAGAAGCTGAAGACGAAGGAAGGTAGTAGTCTAAGCACTGGAAGTGCGAAAGCCTGGTTGGGACATTTGGAGGTTTTGAGATGGTACGTCGGTTTGAAGAGGTCAATGATGGAGAACAATGTATTGATGACATGACAGGTTCCTCGCCTCAAGCCACGAGACAGCTCTGATCATCGAAGACGACACTGATTTCGACATCTTCATCCGACAATCCCAGGTTCCACTCCTGGCATCCGCTGTCCGCTCTTTGCTCGACAATAGTGTCACTGGCGACTCATCATCAGCATACTGGGCTTCCACCAACAACTGGGACCTCCTCTATCCCGGCCACTGCGACGACTTGATCTCCACGGCCTACCTTTCCCAGCCTTCTCTTCTGTACCGCGACCCCACTGTGCCGCCCACTTCCCTCCTTCACCCAGACACCGCTCTTTTTCTCTCCTCCCTATCTATACCCTCAAAAGCTCGGTTGCTACACAGAAGCTTTTGGCCGTTCTGCACATTTGCCTACGCCGTGAACCGCCGGTCTGCCGCCATGATCCTCTCTACCTACTCCAGGGAACCGGAAGGTGGCAGTTCGGCATACGATGTTGCTCTATTGAGCGCGTGTAGGGACCGAGATTGGAAGTGTTGGAGTGTAGCTCCGGAATTGTTCCATCACGGGCTTGGGCATTCGGAGATATTTAGGGCAGACACAGAGGATGGGAAGAACACGGGAGAGAGAGACGAGAGGGGGAGTATGAGGGGGACGTGGAATTTGGGGTGTGGGGCTAGGCACAGGCAGTTGTGGGTTAAGGAGATAGATAAAGAAATGAGGAGTCTGGTTAAGGAGAGCGTGAGGAACGCAATTCAGAGTGGAGAATGTCCGATTGATGCGGTCATGGAGGAGGAGAGTTGGAAGGGATGTGAGTATGGAGAATGTGGGGCGCAGTCCTGACTCTGCTTGATCACCCTTCATCTTTCTGATGATACCCCCTAGCCTATAGACTCATCTTAGTATTTGATCACCACGTGCAAGCGAAAATCCGAACGCTGCAGTCAGACCTGGTTTCAACCCGAGAGTAAGCGAAGTCTTCACGTAACGTAGACTCCTGGGGTATTAATTTCCAGCAAGTGCTGCAAGTGAGTATTCGATTTCTTTTCCTTGTAATAAGTTGTGGTCACATGCAGGGCTGGCTAGGTGATCTCATAGTATCAAAACGCTATGTCAAGTTACAGCATCACAGCATTGATAGCAAGCGCATGCGTTGATACGTAGATGGCGACGAGATCCCAGATCCCGCCGCTTTTCGAGGCTTTTGTAGCTATCTCTTGTCTACAGATAGCCAAACGTACCCCGTGTCCCACGTTAAAGGTATCTTCGTTCGTGCCATCCAAATATTCCAACGTCAATGAGTCGTCCAAAAATCGCACCGTACCCCTGTAAGATCAAAAAAGAACTCCACTTGGTATCTTACAAAGATCGCCTATGAAGGAAAAGAAGAATGGACGGGTATCCAGAAGTGAGAAGTGAAAGAAGAATGCAAGCAAGGGAACAAGAGCGGTGCAGGTTGCAGTCGCCCGACTCATCGCCAGAGGTCCGCCCTCGAGGCCCGCTTCTCGCGACCTGCATGGCTCATCCAGCTGGCGCGTGGACTAGGCTCCCTGCCACCAAGCGAGTTGGAGTAGCCGTGTCCGAAGCCTCCACTAGGCGCCATGTGTCCCGCACTCCGTGGTCTTCCATCGTTGTCTGCAGGCACGGCCAAGAAACCTCCAAATCCATTTGGTACCACAATACTTTTACGAGCATCTCCACCCCATTGGGGCCCGAGACCCTTGTGTGCTGAGTAGCTGCTCAATGGCCGACCGACTGACACTGATGCTCGGCGTCCCTGTGCCTCAGGCGGCATGATGGATGTGAAGATCCAGTCCAACTCATCCAGACCCTTGGAGTAGACTTCGAGGGGCTGGTTGAACATTGGCGGCGGTGCCTCGCTGAACGGTCGGATCGGTGGCGCGAGCGTTAGGACCTCTGGGAATTCGGGATCGCGCACGTAGAGCTGTCGCAGCGCCGGCATGCAGTTCGCAATGAGCGAGTTGGCTAGGTACTGGTAGCACGATGCACTAGGCGGGTAGGCTTGATGGGCGGAGCTGGAGATGACCTCGAAATGGAGCTTGTGTAGCGTGTACGACGTCATGGGTGGTATCGGGTCCAAAGGAAGAGATGCAGAGACTGTGGCATTGTATTCCAGCGTCCGTAGGGTGACTGCAGCCTGCAGAATGATGTGGAGGGAGGGTACGGGAATGCCACCGCAATCCTTCAAAATGAGGGTCCGCAGCCTGCCGCTGCACATTGGGTTGTAGAGGTACTGTGCGAGTCCGTTTGCGGTGACACCGTGTACCTTGGTAAGTTTCAGGGTTTCTAGCGCAGGGAAGTTGGGGATTCCCGGGGCGTCGTGGAAGGTCGAGTCGTTCAGCCACGAGACGCCGGTGATGGTGAGCTCCTTCAAGTGAGGCAGCACGCCGAAGACCTGCCTCAGGATGCTGGGCTCTATCTGGATCTTGTTGAGCTCAACCGAGATCAGCTCCTGCCAGTAGCCCTGAAGGAGCGTCTCTAGCGACTGCTCTCCGCCCTCGTTGTACTTCATCTTCCGGATGTGTGGGCAACGCGCCTGGAGCTCCTGACGCAGCAATTGACACGACTGATCGCCATTGTAGAAGCCGTCGGGGAGGTCGATGAACTCGATGTTCGGGCAGCCCGATACGGTTCGCGCCAGGTCAGCCTTGCACGCCTCGCGCGTCATGTAAGGAAGCTTGATGAAGCGCACGCGCTGGCCGAGGTATTGGTTTCCACGCACACTCTGGCCCAGCTGCTGCAGCCGGAGCGTGGGCGCGTCGATGTCCTCGCCGTTTCGTGACTTGCGCCGGCGCTGGTCGGCGTAGACCTCCTCGAGCTCGCAATAGTGGACGGCATCAATGCGAATGCTGTTGTATCTGGGGCACGTTAGGGGGTAGCCTGGTGCACTGAGCATGTGGGACTTACAGGAGACC